GGTTTACATCTATTAATCTGGTTCATATTAGTCAATCTGGTTTACATCTGTTACTCTAGTTTAGACCTGTTAATCTGGTTTACATCTGTTAATCTGGTTCACATCAGTTAATCTGGTTTACATCTGTTAATCTAGATTAGACCTGTTAATCTGGTTTACATCTGTTAATCTGGTTTACATCTGTTAATCTGGTTTACATCTGTTAATATGGTTAACACCAGTTTACAACTGTTAATCTGGTTTACATCTGTTAATCTCGTTTACATCTGTTAATCTGGATTACAACAGTTTACACCTGTTAATCTGGTTAACATCTGTTAATCTGGTTAACACCAGTTTACATCTGTTAATCTGGATTACACCAGTTTACACCTGTTAATCTGGTTTACATCTGTTAATCTGGATTACATCAAGGAAAACAGATAAAACTTAGCCTTTAGGCTAACCCTGCTAGCTGTAGATTAATGTTTAATCTTAGTTAAATTAGTAATCTCAGGTATTGAACTTTCCCACAGCTCTCTGCTGGTTCTGTAGCACCCCTAACGCCCCTGCTTCTCTGGTGTCTCTTCAGAAAAGCCTCCCCGCTCTGCGTCAGACGCTCCTCAACAGTCAGCAGTCCCTGATGACGGCTCCGCCCAGCACCTCTGCCCCGCCTCCAGCTGCTCCCGGCTCGGTCACCGCCGCCGCCACCATCAGGCCGCCGCCGCCCGGCAACACCGTGGGCGGCGCCGTCCGCCTGAACCCGCCCATCGCCAACACAACAGCTGTGGTAGGATCAGCAGCCTCACCTGCTCAGTTTAACATGTTTCAGACCAGGTGTTTCAGTTTCAACATGATGATGATGATGATGATGTCATCCCACCTCCAGGCGGTGTGCAGACCAGGAGTCCAGTCTGTACAAACCCACTCACCTGTTGTCATCAACCAGACCCTCAGACATCCAGGTGAGTCTCTGCTCTGACAGCTGCAAAACAAATGTACCTGTGTGTGTGTGTGTGTGTGTGTGTGTGTGTGTGTGTGTGTG